AAATGGTGTATGGGTTCAAAAGGGAGGTGACTGTTGCGCTATAATGATTCGGTTAGAGTGACCTCCCCTGATAGCATTGCAAATGGCATAAGGGTTCAAAGGGAGGTAACTGTTGCGCTCCATAAAAGAGTCGATTTGAGTGGCCTCCCCTGCTAACATTGCAAATGGTTTAAGGGTTCAAAGGGAGGTAACTGTTGCGCTCCATAAAAGAGTCGATTAGAGTGGCCTCCCCTGATAACATGGCAAATGACGTTAGGGTTCAAAGGTAACTGTTACGCTCATAAACAAGTTGATTAGAGTGACCTTCCTCACAACATTTCAAAAGGCGTATGGGTTCAAAAGGGAGGTGACTGTTGCGCTTTAAAAGATTCGGTTAGAGTGACCTCCCCTGAAAACATTGCAAATGGCGTAAAGAATTTATTTTAATTTTTCCTAATCATGATTTAATAATCTGGACTAAAACGCCTTTGTTAACTTAATTATGATAATAAAGATTTTCGACCATGCGACCACATACATGCATCAAGGACAAGTTTGAAGGAAAGTGACCGTGCGACCACATACACGCATCACAAGATTCCCCTTCTCTTACGAGAAAGGGACAAAGAGTTGTACACCCTTTTATTAAAGAGCGGACTTTAATAATGCCTTTGCCTTATGTTATTGATAAGGAGGCTAATTTTCACGGATATGTCTTGAATTGGTTTATATACAACATTAGTAACGCAAACCAAGCGGGTTATCAGTTTACGTCTTTTAAAGTCTGCTATGAAATTTTAAAAAGATCATATATAACTTCTGGGAAAATTTTAAGTTTAAAGTTTTTTCTACTTCTCATTATATGTATATAACAGAATTATTATAATTTTGCAAAACTTGAACGTTTCAAAAACGTTTTATATGCGTTAAATATTGGAGATATATTTCACACTGTTTACACATATTAACCTGGGGGCATTTTCGCCAAGGACAATAACTTGAACCTATGTTTACATAAAAAATAATAATAGGTAAAGCAAACTGAAGCCTAATAACACAAAGTAAAACATCATATTTTAATGTGCTTGATAGCGCAGTAGACAGAGCAAATGTAATTAGATTCTAAAGAGTGGAACAAAAATGAAATAAAAAAGAAACATAAAATAAAAATGTGTAAGAACCAAATACATGTATTTTCAAATGATCATACAAAAGACAGACAAAGAGATTTCTGATTGTTTTTTGTTATGGTACATGCATACAATACCATATGTATCTTAAGTTTAGCAGCGCATAATTCACTTCCTTTTCAAGACATAACGCCATTTGCATATTACACCTGTAACTTCAGTAAGTGGATATTGTATGCATGTAACTGAGAGACACAACAGATCAAGCACACATGCATGAATATAGAAAAATGAATTTCTTCATGTTTATTGACCTATTTATAGTGCAATTTGGTCGTACTGAATCATCACATTTTGTAATGTAACTGCGTGTTGCTAAAAAGTTTTTTCGATGCACATACCGCATTAATAACTTTTTTATCTTGGGAAAATATTAGAAATGATAGTTAAACGTCTCAATTCCGACTGAAAGGGCGCGAAGAATAGAGGAATTGATAAAAGAAAGACCTTGATTTTCTGTCAGAATGTTAGCCACTTTCATGGTATTTCTGCCATCGACGGCATCATTTAAGGTAGAACGCGACACTTTGCAAACTTTCGAGTAGCGTCTTGAAAATTGTCACACAAAAAGTTGACCATATTTCTGATAAGGTTCCGTTAATTTTATTTCAATAGTTTCAGCCAATTTTTGTACACACGGCGTCAAAGTTGACCATCAAAGCCCGTTTTCGAACATGACGTCGTTGCGTATCCTTGGCAATTTTAACGGGTATTTCAACGCCATTGGCGGACAAAATATCTTAAATTCTACAGCATTCGACGGAAAATATTTTTTCCTTTAAGCTGATATAAAATTTATTGTTTTACGCCGAAAAATGTTTGAAAAATGGAAAGAAAACTGTCAATTTTGTGTAAAATTTGACGTTCAGTTTAGCCGCAATTTTCGGCTGTAAAAAGTCCTGAAATAAATTTTTGATTTGTTTCTTTAAAAGTCCTACAAAATGTATACTTAGTCAAAATAACAAAAAAAATAGGGGGTCACCGACTCAATTTTTTCGGTACACGTGATTTTATTCCCCCCCCCCACCCCTTTGGATAAAAGCCACGTTATCACGGGGCGTTTGTTATTTTTATGTCATTAAAACGATCGCCCTGTGTCAAAACCCGCTATAAACGGAATTTTACGCCATTATGACCACTGCTGAAAATATATGGATACAATAAAGAGTACGGAATTCCGAAAATTATAGATAGACAGGCAAAAATAAGTGAAAGTTGAATAATTAGATGTACGGGACCGTATATCATGCAATACGTATATGCATGACTAATATACCGTGATCCGTACACTCGTGATATATGATGTTCGTATTTACCAAAATAAGGATTTTTTTTAATTACAAGGTCAGATATAGCCAAAATATTATTTTTTTATTCTTGTAAATATACTTTTTGTATATAAAATAGAGAATAAGGATGTACTTCAGAATGACCCACTTTCTAAAGAGGAAAGAAATAATAGTCTGATCTGACATTTGTCAGAATAACATTTTAAATGGTAAAACTTTGAGTAAAATGTAATATTTTCGAATAGTTTTGTCCGCCTTGTTAATTTCACGGCAGGGCTTTTGTCCGCCCAGTCATTTTCACGGGAGGGCTTTTGTCCGCCCTGTCATTTTCACGGGAGGGCTTTTGTCCGCCTTGTCATTTTCACGGGAGGGTTTTTGTCTGCCCTGTCATTTTTGGACGGGAGGGCTTTTGTCCGGGAGGGCTTTTGTCCGTTTCCCGTATTCAATAGTGAAGAAATGAAAATAAGCCGAAAAAGTACATGTTATTTATTTTGCAACTGCAGTGCAACAAAATATACCCGAAAGGCAGAATATTTCCTAATTTGCACGTATAGTGAAGAATCAATGTTTTACATATACATAGTCCGTTACAGGAATAGTGAAGAAATAAAATAAGCCGAAAAAGTACACGTTATGTATTTTGCAACTGCAATCGAAAGGCAGAATATTTCCTAATTTGCACGTATACAGTAGGGAAGAAGCAATGTGTTTTACTATGGAAAGCCATGGCTGTCTGATATTGTTCTTTTTCAATTTATGTAACCATTTGGATAATATATGAGTTCACTTCGACTATATATATATAAATTGAAAACACCTTCTTATTTAACCGGAATCCATTATATTAATCCACAGTTAACCATACTGTCAGTGTATGAAACCGCGTTAGCAATATGTAAGTTGATTTTCTCAATATATGATTCCAATTCTTCAATATATTGTACCAAAGTAGCCAGGTATGGAATTATCAATATATTAATTCATTTTTACAATATATGAAACCATTTTATCAATGTATGGAACCAAAGTAGCAATATATGAGTTGGTTATACCAATTCTTCAATATATGGAACCAAAGTAGCAATGTATGGAACCAGGTGTCCTTATATGAAACCAAATTATCAATATATTAATTCATTTTTACAATATATGAAACCATTTCATCCATGTATTGAACCAAAGTATCAATATATAAGTTCATTATCACATTATATGATACCAGGTCTTCAATATATGGTACCAAAGTAGCCATGTATGGAACCAGATGTCCTTATATGAAACCAAATTATCAATATATATTTTTCATTTTTACAATATATGAAACCATTTTATCAATGTATGAAGCCGAAGTATCAATATATAAGTTGATTATCACATTATATGATACAAGATCTTCAATATATGAATCCAAGTAAGTCATGTATGGAACCAGATGCCCTTATATGAAACCGAATTATCAATATATGAAATCAATTTTACAATATATGGAACCAGTTTATCAATGTATGTAACCGAAAGAGCAATATATATAGTCGGTTTCATATAAGGACATCTGGTTCCATATATGGCTATTTTGGTGCCATATATTGAAGAATTGGTATCATATAATGTAATAACCAACTCATATATTGCTACTTTGATTCCATACATTGATAAATTGGTTTCATATATTGTAAAAATGAATTAATATATTGATAATTCGGTTTCATATCAGGACATCTGGTTCCATATATGGCTACTTTGGTACCATATATTCATATAATGTGATAATCAACTTATATATTGATACTTCGGCTCCATACATTGATAAAATGGTTTCATATATATTGTAAAAATGAAAAATATATATTGATAATTTGGTTTCATATAAGGACATCTGGTTCCATACATTGCTACTTTGGTACCATATATATTGAAGAATTGGAGTCATATATTGAGAAAATCAATTAATATATTGCTAACTCGCTTTCATACACTGACGGTATGGTTTCATATATTGTAACTGTGAATTAATATAATGGATTCCGGTTAAATAAGAAGGTGTTTTCAATTCATATATATAGTCGAAGTGAACTCATATATTATCCAAATGGTTACATAAATTGAAAAAGAACAATATCAGACAGTCATGGCTTTCCATATTTTACATATGTATATTTAATGTATTTTTAGAACTATTTTAAGGTATTTGCCAGCTAAAATTTTAATTGACCTAGATTTGTCTCTGTTATAGGCCTACCTAGTTATGATATCATCTTACAAGACGGTAATAGATCTGTCTACATAAATAATGTCTGCTATTTCGAAAATATTATATAAACCGCACTATCCACAAAGACAATTACGTATTAAAGCAGAAATCTCGTGCAACTGATTACGCCCCCTTATCTTCGTTAATTTTATTTCCAGCTCATAATATTGAAAGGGAAATAACACATACTTATCGCTGAAGTAGGTAATTGGGTCAGCGAATGTTACCTACTCCGCAAACGATTTACTAATGCGCCCGCTTAATACACAACAGAACCAGCTAAGTAGGTCACCAAAAGATGGCGTTGTAATCGCTAAATTTGTCAACAGACGACGCCATTTTGAAGGCCGCGAATTTCGGGGAGAGGGCATTTTGCCCGATATTTCGTTTGTTTTGAGTGGACTTGATTGTTTTAAATGTGTGAATGATGAGCAAGTACATTCAAGTTGCCGAAGATGAGAACGAGGAGTCGATGGAAGTCCCACTTGAAGAGGACGGGACGCTCCTGCTGTCCACTCTGAACGCGCAGTTTCCTGGGTCTTGTGGACTAAAGTATCGTAACCCAGAATCTGGTGCAATGCGTGGAATTCGGCTCTCAGATGGGCGATTGTACCCTCCGGATAATGAATGGTCGAATAGAATGTATGTTGCAGTATTTCCAAAAGGTAAATAGCGATAATCTGTTTGAAAATGGGTCGAAAACATCATCCGAATTATAGCGTCACTTTTGACAACTTGAGATATTTTGGAGATCTTTGTCGTTTTTCAAAGAGAACCGTGCTGTCATTTTGCAAAATTGAGACTGCAATTTATGACCATATGATAGGAAAAATATTAAATTTTCATTTTCACATAATTTCAGTGTGGAATGATTGTTTGTTTACTTGTTTTAGTCTGCAGAATATTGCAATGTTTTGAAAATTTGACAGATAAGGGAGACAACTCTATGTTTACTACTTAACAGGTGCTCTGTCAAAAGTTCATAAATAGATTGTAATGCATTAAGAATGTTTTATTTAATGTTTTTTTTTGCATTGATCTTAAATGTATTGAATTTTTCATTCTATAGATAATAAAATCATGTATTAATATTGAAAAATTGAACTCTAGATGTAAAGTAAATGGTTCAAAATATGAAATTAGGCAAAGCCTATGAACAGGGAAGTTGTTAAAATGCCTTTCATTCTTACCGTTTTAAAGGTGTCATTCAGTATTACATGCACTGCTTCTGTTTTCACTCGGAACACTTGACGATTATCATTTATCCGAAAAGTTGAGATTTGTTCCGTTATCGGAATACCCCGCCTTTTATCATTGAGTTACATTGTAAATGGCGGCGCCCGACTAGAACTGACACTGAAAATTTCAATGATAGGTATAGAATTCTATATGTTTTTTAATTGTTTTTTATTTGATTTTCTTTTAAATATACACATGTAGTCTATAGCCGGGCAAGCCAAAGCCCGGACCCGCTTTGTGGGCCCGGTCTTTGACTTCCCAGTATTATTAGCAGCTCACTAAATCATTTAGAACCAAGGCGAGTTCATTTAAGTCTGTAAGTTAATTGTAACCACTGAGCATTTTTATAAGTTAACATTGCCGTCAATACCACAAGCCCACAGTTCTGTGTCACTCTGGTTGTTTTGTAGTTGTACTGAAATAAGAGTGAAAATATCAAACTAAAAGTCATGTGTATTTTAAGCTGTGGTTAAAATTGACTGGAACTTGTGTACATATTTGAGAAAAACGAATTTCATGATAATTTGATTGGGTTGGGTTTTTTTCATACATTTTTAACATTAATATATATCATTATCAATAGAATAATAATATAGATCAATCATATGTTGTGGTTCAGATCTGAATATCCGTGCCAAGTTACTGCCATGGGCGGGTTCCCATTGGGATGGATATTCCGATCCGAACTGCAAACATATGTCGGATATTTTTCTTGCATATTCTACCATACACATACTCATATTTTTTAATTTATTGCCTTAATAAAACAATGCCATGAAAATTTATGTCATTACACCGTAACTATTTTCTTACAACAGGTATGAAATTAAATCTTCATACAGCGAAATTACGTCATGACTCATCCCAAGCATGTCTTAGTATCTATAGGCTAGTATAGCATGCGAATCATCTGGCACCCCCCATGCCATATGAAATTTCCGGCATGGGTAAAACAAATGGAAACACCAGTCTCATATGCAAGAATATTCTGTCTGTCTGAAAATAATAAAATATAATAGAATTGTAGTATGGAAAGTGTTTTTATAAATATAGGCTTACTCAAGCTTAAGTGAGAATTTCATGTCTAAGTCAAAAGTAAGTAAATCAGCATACTTTTAGGAATTATATATTGGGTCCATAGGAATGCATACAGTTATAGATAAGTTTTTTTAAAGGAAAAAACAAATGTTTTATTTTTATAAACATAATCATGTGAACATTTCTGTAGTTGTTTATCAGACAAATAACACAAATATTCTGTACATTATCAAGCTTTAAATAATTCAGTTTTGTATCACTATTATCAGAGGGCAACAAGAAAAAAGAGGATCTTGCAGAACTTTCATCAGCAGCTGCTCTAAGAATAAAGCGGGACAGATCTATTAAATGTAGTGACCTCATTGTCCTAGGACTTCCATGGAAAAGTGTGGAAGATGACCTCAAGAAGTACTTTTCCCAGTTTGGTGAACTCCTTATGGTTCAGGTAATTAAAAGGTCTATTCTAAGTTTGATTGCAGATTTTTGTCGGATAACTTTCCTAGTGGCAGACTTGTATAAAGTTTTAATTTAATATTACATACTCATATGATACAGAAAGCATTGCTTGTTTTTGAGAGTGTATATATTTTTTCTAAAAAGGGTGTTTTTCATGAAGTTTTAAACTTTTACTAGTAGTAGCTACAGAGCTACACACTATGGCATGTTAAGACAATTAAGATGGTCTACAGTGCAGAAACATGGGTACAGATTTTTGTGGTTTTACAGATCATGCTTACAAATGTTATAACTTTTGACAAATTAATATGATGTCTGATGTATGACATTTAAATGCTTATGTTACAATATGTATACATGTACATGTATATATTTTCTTAAATTTTTTTAACAAATTTGTATCAATGTAAATATAAAGTTATATCTATGGTTCTTATGAAAATATCTATTGTTGTTATAATGAAAGAAATTTTTAAGTTATATTTATAGTTCTTATGAAAGGAAATTTTTTAGTTATATTTATAGTTCTTATGAAAGAAAATTGTAAGTTATATTTATAGTTCTTATGAAGGAAAGTTTAACTTAAAAATTTCCATTCCTAAGAACTATACATATACATGTTACTAAATAAGTTATATTTATAGTTCTTATAAAAGTTATATCAATTATATAACATGATTAATTTTCATTAAATGGCTGATAAATATATGATCTAGATAAACAAATATTTGTGCATAGGATATTTTAGTTGGCTTCAAAAATAATTGCTACATGGTATATGTGTGCATGTTTCTGAAATTTATAGCAAATAATAAATAAATGAAATTGTTCTAGGTGTTTCAACATGCATTTTTCCCTATCTTACTGGAAAAAAACATTCTTATGTAATTTAAATATTGTTTGTTTATTAGGTTTACTCTACAGAATACTGCAATACTTTGAAATAATTGAACACAAAAGGGAGACAAATCTATTCTAACTTTTAACTACTTGTTTGGTAGTACAATCATGTGATTCTAAATATTCAGTTTTTCTGTGGTTTAGGTAAAGAAAGACCCCAAAACTTCCCATTCAAAAGGGTTTGGATTTATACGGTTTGCGGACTATGATGCCCAGGTAAAATGTATGGCCCAACGTCATCATATAGACGGTAGATGGTGCGATGTCCGGATTCCGAACTCCAAAGTGGTAAATATTCAGTTTTATTTCTCAATATTACAACAGTGATATTTCTCATTTATTGGGAAAAGGCCTTAGTCTCTTGATTTTGGGAAGAATTATCACTATAATTGCTGTATTAGGAAGTAAAAAAGCAGAGGCGTAATTTTAGATTTTTGGGAGAACTGCATGATTTTAAAGAATATTTCTTTTGGGACGAGGCCCTTTATAGGTCTCTGTTATACAAGGTAAAAAATAAGTGTACAGCGATAATTTATTCTTTAGCTATTAAGCTGCAGAATTTATGAAATGGATTTGCCCAGGTTTGAATTTGGAACAGTCCCTTTGAAGTTACAGGTACATGTATTATTCAAAATTGAAACACAAAAATTAATTTAGTACTAACAGTATTTAGCCTGGTCGAAATGCACTGATGTGCAGACTGGTTTGACTCTTAACTGCTGGCAAAGGCCAATCACTTACAATCTCTCCAGAGTAAGAATTAAGACTCATACACAGATTTGACAATGCATTTTGTCGCCTTAGTGCATTAAAAGGTTAACTCCTATTAAATTATATAAGGAGTTAACCTGTTACTGTACTGCACTATGGTGAAAAAAGGTAGGTATGTATATGAGATACAGAAATCATTTGAGACATAGCTTAGCCTGTGATAAATAATGAATTTTTTTGTAATAGGAAGTTAAATGGTCTGAAAAACTTTTTTATAACTTGTGAAAGTTGTATCATAACGAATACTTCTGTCATATAAAACTCAAACAAACTCTACGGACTAACAGAGTGGTTGTTTCTCAACTTGAGCGATGTCAGGTTCAAGCACTGTCTAGTTTCAAACTTTGTTTCCTGAAAATGATGCCAGTACTGGTTAGTTTTGAAGCGGACTCAAAACTAATCAATTCTGTTATAACATATAAGTATATATGTGTTATGATAGTGTTGAAATAAACACAATTATATAAAAAGAATTACGATTGTGTATATAATACGTAATGAAAATCTAAAAGTTGTTTAGTCATCAGCATACCAGAAATATGAATTTCAACATTTAAGTAACCAGTCACCCAAAAAATTAAACATGGAAAATGCTTAGATGTATTGATATTTTATGAGATGAAGATGGACTTATTACATTATGAACTGTGCCAGTTTGAATCTTCACATTTGATCGTTTTCCATCTTAAAAATGATCATCGGGCTTCTTATATTCATTTACATCTACATGTATCTTCCTTTTGATGTCATTCCCCAACATATGGCAGTGAGATTTTGGCATCTTGTATAAAATTTCACAGATATCTATAATGGTAATTAATGCCAGTTGTATAAACAATTTCAAATGCATAATATTACAAAGATAATCCAGGAAAAAGTCTTGGATTTGAACTCCATCCCCTGGCATACAAATACAAATAAACACAATTTCTCTAGACCTTTGAAGGAATTACTTGATTCCCTTATACAGTCCTAAGAGGTTGAAATTATAAGTTACAAGTGAGTGTGTCCTTGCATATAGCAACCTGGGTGAAGGGTAACTTTCTTACACAATGAAATCAACAATGTCCTTGCTAAGATTTGAACCTTGGGCCTTTCAATTTTGACATTATAAGAACAGACAATTACTTCCCCGAACACTGTTACAAACTGAAGCTAAATCAACAAATACATAAACTTTACAGTTTTAATTTTTCCTTTTTGGCTGTTTCAGGAAGCTAAAGACAACCTAGTGAATAGAAAAGTCTTTGTTGGCAGATGTACAGAAGAGATGACTGCCGAAGATCTCAGGTCCTACTTCAACAAGTTTGGTGAAGTTGTGGACGTTTTCATTCCTAGACCTTTCCGAGCATTTGCCTTTGTCACATTTTCTGATCCAGAAATTGCACAAGCACTTTGTGGGGAAGATCATATCATCAAAGGTGCCAGTGTACATATAAGTAACGCTGCACCAAAAACATATGATAAACAGCAAATGGACACTCGTAAAGGTAGCCTTAATCAGCAAGCATACAGTCAGGGTGGTTATACGCACACCCCTTGGAGTCAGGGTGGAGGGCGTGGCGCAGCACAACCTCACATACAAGGACAGGTTCCACCAGGTGTGCCAAACAACATGGGAATGAGCCTTGGAGCTTTTCAACTCAACCCCGCAATGATTGCCGCAGCCCAAGCCATGCTTAGCGGCCAAGGTGGTTGGGGCCCAGTTGGTATGGTTAATCAGCCAGGTGGGCCCACGCCCGTTAGTGGAGGTACACCTCTCCCACCACCAGTCCCCACGGCCGTAGAGGCTCAAACTGCCCAGCCAACCCAACAGCCACAGCCTCCTCAGTCATTTGGGAGTATAGGGAGCAATCAGGTTAGCACAGGCACAGTCGTCTCTGCGGGGAATAATAGCTTTTTAGGCTGGGGAGGTAACCAAGGTCAAGAGGTTCCACCACACCAGAGTACAAGTCCCGGTGTCGGAGGGTGGGGTGCGGCCCCTCCAAAACAAGGTGGGGGTGCGTGGAGTTAAATATGGACTTTTGTGTTGGTAATGTATTTATTGTTTAAATGAGTAGGTGGTTGAAGAGTGGTTAAAGAAATTATATTATCTATTAAAACTGATTTAAATATTTTATCTATAATCTATCCCCCTTTTGGAAAGATAACCTTTTTCCTCACTAAGTGTTGTTTTTTTTCTCTATATTTCACATTTTAATTTGAGAAAGATAAAGTATGATGTACCACAGTTGTTTTTTGTGCAGATTTTTTTTTTCTAATTTGTTTATATTTTTTTCTTTGTTGAAATTACTTTGAAAAACGTTGGTGTTTTTTTTTTCATGGAAAATGGTGGTTTGTATATTTGGTATTAAGTGGCTGTTACATATTTATAAATAAATTATATGCTGGTAAAGCCATGTGAAACTACCTCTGAAAAATGATGTTTATGCTGTTAATGCCCATGAGTAAAAGGTTAAGACTTCAAAAGCCAAAAATTGTGTCTGCAGTAGTACTTGAGCATGAATACATTTGGTCATTTTTGGGTTTTTTGTATATTTTTTTACTAAACCTGTTATTTTGCTGAAATATTCATCTTGTTTTTGTTGAGCTGAGGTATGTGTAGCTGTCATTTCTTCAGATTTTGAGGGGGGAAAGGGTGTTCTTGATTAACCAGAGTTTTAAAGACAGGTTTTGATATTTATTAAGGTTTATAAATGTGTTAGTTTGTGTAGGAATGGATTGTGAAAAATAATGCAGGAACTTTGAATTTTTTAAGTGATTTAGAAAAAAAATGTATTCAAAAGTGGGAAAAACACCCTGATTCTTAAGGAAAAGTTGATGCATTAGGAACTGTATCTTGAAAATTGAGTTGTTTCCCTTGGTTTGGTAATCTTACCTTTCTGAACAGATTTTAATGTGGACAATTCTTGTACAGAATATTTTTGTTTTTTTTATCAAGTTTTTAAACCAGATGTTACTTATTATAAATATCAACTTAAATAATTACTCATTTAATAAGAGCTTTGGCTCATGGTTAATTTAATATTAGATTTCTCTCATGGTTAAAATATACAATATACATGCAAATGTTTGTGGTATATCACTCTCTTTAAAATGGAGTTTCACAGGTTATTTTCTCACCACAACAATACATGTAAGAAACGGTATGTCAAACACAAAGGTAATGTTTAATGTCTTCTTATACATTGAACATCTGGTTTTTGTCCTCTAGGACAATTATTTTCAAAACTTGCTGATTGGTTTTCTTCCAACAAAGTTCTTTAGCAATTATAAGTTTTTTTCCTTTGAAGTAAATGCTACTGAAAAGATTTTATATATAGTGTTTAGGGGATAAAGTGGCAGAAAACATAGCTTTGATGTCACTTAAAAGTCTTTGATGTTTGCTGAGTTAGGATAACATTTTTTATTTATTTGAAGAAAGAAAAAAAAGCAAAGCACACTGATAAATGGTACCATTATTGAATGACTGGAGCAAATTTGCAAAAGTGTTGGGCATAGCTTATATTCCTTTCAAAAAGGATAGAATGTATTGGGTAAAGTATACATGAAGAGGACTTGTAATCATAAAAAAACCTGGAGCTGTTTCTTCGAAAGAGGCCATCTTGTAACCAAAAATTTAAAAATAATTTATATTTATAAGTCTAGAATTTTATAGTTATACATTATAACATTATGTATCACTTACAAGCCAGGCTAGTGTACATAAATGTTCAAGCTGACTGATGTCATTCTGATTGAAAGTAACTCCTTATTACAAAAGTGGATTGTTTCTTATCCAAAGCTGAGCCAAGTCATTATATGCAAATATTAACAGATTAAGGGTCAAAGTTTACAAGGCGGCCTCTTTCGCTTTGGCGGCTCACAAGTGTGTTGTTACTGCTGCAAATGGGTTGGTCACCATGGTGTCATTGTATAGGACCTCACTCATTGGAAAAATGATATGTCATGTGTATTGATTAAAACAGGGATGTTCATGCGGGGGAAAAAATGAAGATTTTTGAAAATGAATTTGTTTGTTTGTTTGTTTGACAGAGAATATTGTTACCAGTATTTTTGAGTTTTAAGAGAGAATATTATATATATTTTATTTTTTTTATGTTCTGATTTTGTTTTGGTATTTAGACCCACTTAAACCATGTTTACAAGTAAAAAGATGGATAGATTACTGCCAGTATTGAGTGATGTAGTTGAAACCAAATCATGTAGAGTATATAATTCATACACTGAAGAAGGAAGTACCGGTAATTAATGCTAGTTGGCATAAATCATGAGTGAATGTTAAAAAGTTGATTTGTTATTATCATTTTAAAACCCCAGTTGCCATAATGTCTTGAAGAGCAAATGTTGGGTCACAGAGGCTAAATGGTAGGTGTGTTGTTAAAAAAAGGGGGTTTTTATATTTTATAATTTGTATCAAATTTGTATGAAATTTAAGATTTAATCGTCTGATTTTTGTTGACATTAAATGGCATGTGAAGATTTTGGCTGTTTATCATATGTATAATAAAATCATGTATACATACTTGTATAGAATTTTTGGTAACTTATAGATTTTAAATGAAATCAATGTGGTGTATTATATAATGTGTTTATGTATGTAATTGTTAGGGTTTTTTCTGTTAGTTTTTACCTTGAAATAGTGTATTTTTTCTTCTTACTTTTCGCTTTAACACTTTTTAGAACATATACAGATGATATGATAGGAAGTTTTATTGTAGATTGTTAAGCTTTCTCGGCTAAATTTACATCTTAAATTTAAACATATTTTTACAAGTTTAGAGTTTTTATCTCGGCAAATTGGCAAAATCTTTGCCTTTTAACAAAACCACCATCGTAATGATTATATGTTAATTAAAAAAGAAATGATTGTAAAAATTTGCTTACAGATGTACAGACCTAGTTTGTAACGGTTTAAGACTCATTAAGAAATTTGTGAATTGAGGTCAGGACAAAACCCCACTTTATGTCTAATGGGTAGAGCTGTCATCGATAGGGACAATATTGATATTTTTTCTGCTGATCAAAAATCGATACACATTTGAAGAAATCGATAATTTTGATTATTAGGTTAAGTATTTATATGTTGGTAAATTATGAAAATGTATCCAAAACATATATAAAATTAGGTGGCCATCTCTAACACGAAGCTGTTGTTACATAATGGACACATTTCATAGCAGTGATGAAAAAAAAAAATGGTCAGGAAAAATCATGCAAAGTACATTTATAAACTGGACACAACATATTTGTATGAATTTTACTAAAATCATTTAAACAGGAATGAAAGTGAATTATATACAAGAAATTTAAGGTATTTATTGATACATCGGTGTGTCGCTAATTTTTGATATTGATACCAATGTATCACCAATATGCTTTGCACTTATTCAATGACAGCTCTACTGACGGGCTGTTTAATAAGTGGGATTTTGTCCTAAACCACCTTAACTTGTAACATTCTGGACATAGGCAGTGATTATTGTCACCCTGGGTATGACCTATTTAAATGATTTGATAAATGTTACTTTCCTTCCCACCCCCCATACTGTACTTCCATACATGTTATTTGGTAATAAAGAAGTTGTACATATTTATGAGTAGGCTGTCTGTTCTGTATGTATATAACCCACATAGTGTATTTTGTTTAATAGTTACAATATTTTTTAACGGTATATTTTAGATTTGGTTTTTATGAGAGTAGATAATGTGCGACAATGTTAAAGATTTTCGTTTTTTTTATCAGATATCTAGCATTCCTTTCTTATTTACACATGTTCTGTCCTTCTTTTCTGCTTTCTTAGCTTATTTTTCTAACTGTAAGAAACAGGTGTTATACACTTTCATGCACAATATGAAATTTTCCCCTTATAAGTTATTGACGCAAGTTACATTTATGCAATGCAGCATTTTAGTTTACTTAATACCGGTAAACCACTATGGAAGGTGACAGCTCGCACTTGAGATAAATTCCACAATTCAGTGTGGCACCCGAGATCTTTCATCCAATAGTAAAGCTGGTAAAAAACACCATTGTGACATCTAGAAATGAAAGGGAAAACAAAATTTTAAAATATTAATTATTGAATTTTCCTTTCTGTTGTCCACAAAAACAGTCAAAAGACTAAAGTAGATACATTCTGTAAACACTGAAAAATATAATGCAATGGAAGAATGATTGGTTTGTAAAAAAAAATATTTTGTTTTAAGAGCTTTATTAGTATATTCTGTTATTTTTTGGCTTGAATGGCAACCTTAGTTTTCACTAATTGTTTGAAACAATTTTTGTCAACTTTCAGCCATTAGTTTTAGTGCTTGTGTTGTTTCTAAATGGAAAATTTTATTCATTGATGAAATTTTGAAACATCCAAAAAATTCTAAATCTGCAGTGAAAATGTTAGAGTCATTAGATAATGGCAGCTTTTTCATTTATTTTAACTTTTTTTTTGTAAATAATTGAAACTTGTACAGTCTTAACCTATATGTTAATGTATCATTCAAATGTTTATCACTGTTTTTAACCTATTTTTTAAAAGGGAAAAGTGTGTTTGTTGGAAAACTTTGGCCTTTTTTAGCATCAGGATTTTAAACATGAGCTGTTTTAAATAGAACTTCAATTTGTAAAAAATATTTTTGTTTTTGTTTTATAAAATTCTGTGTTTGAATGCTTTTTCTAAGTTACATCAGCATTATTTTGTCAAAATAAGCTTTCTTCTTGCGACCTGGCTAAAGATCTATATATAAAGGGGAAAAAATCCAAGTTGGACTCGCACTTGTTAACTATATTGCGCTATTATTCTAGTTTTATCCTATATTTTATCCACATTATTTGCTTGTTTTGGCTTCTTTTTTTATTAGGCTTACGTTGCTATTATTAACACTTTATTTGATTAGATTCCTGTTTTTGTAACTTGGTACTTCTAGACAACTCACTGAAGTTGTATGACACCGTTTAGGTATATAATACTTGAAGTTGATGGTATATTTTGATAATTTAAGACATACAAGGCAGACAGTAGTATAAAAAAGAATGCAAATTAACATAAAGAGTGAATGAAAGAAAATATTTAAGTCTTATATGACAGGGTTAAGTTCAATTAATTTTTGATTAAATTGCAGATTTGATTTTGTACAAGAGTTTGGCTGGGGTTTTTTTATTAACAAAATGCAATACAGATTTGTTAGATCTTTTGTCTGTCAGTTAAATAAAAGATGGATGGTTTGTCAAGAGTTCATTTGTGGCAGCTTGTTACGTAAATTCTGAAATAATGGAGTAACAATTACAATAAATTAACTGCTTGAAATCATTTATTTTGTATTGATAAGCATTTGAAATTGTTAATGTACTATGTTACAATAGTAACTGAATTTTTAAAAGACAAAATTTGTAAAGAAAAAATAGAAAGGAAGGTGCATAAAATTATTATTTTTGCATTGATGAGCAGTGAAATTCGAAATGTACAATGTTTAATAGGTAAAAGATGAAAAAGAAATTATTTTCACCACGCTTTTAAAATTCCCTTACGTTATATGATACATAGATAAGAAATGCTTTTTTGACAAAAATTATTGAAACAAACCGAAGCTTGCAGTTCAGCTGCCTCAGTATGTAAACATTGTGGTGTTATTTGTGTAGGATGAGTTTTATTAAAAAAAAATCATACTTAACCAATATCCAGCTGAAGCTAAAATTGATGAGCATTATGCCACCATTCTACGAGCTAGGGCAATCTGCATATCCATGCAGTCTAACCAGGCCCTATACTGTTGGCTTTCAAACTATACAAAAATTCAGCATGTTACGGATTATTTAAGAATTGGATTATTTTAGAATTCGGCAAATTTTTATAGGTAAATGTAACGTGTTTTCTTTTATTCTTTTGTTGGTCAGACTATAATGAATATTTTGGGTAATGCAAGGTTCATGGTTTCTTGTATATATAACATTTTGTACAGATTTCATACGCACACTGGTAATACATGTTGTACACAGTGAACGTGATGGTTTTTTTGTTTGTTTTACTTTGAATAATGTTATTAGACCAAGTGTAGAAATATGCTGTACAGGAAAGAGTAAGAAAAAAAGCACATGTATAATTCATGAAATATTGTTATTTATCTATTTCTTAGAAAATTACTATTCATCTTTTATGTTTTTACAAGTTACATATATTTCTATTTTTTCGTGTGTTGACTGTAGTGTGTGGTCTTAAGTGTATGTCTGTTAATGGGTGTCATTTTAATTTGTATCAACTGTATATGCCAGAAATGATGAAAAACATTATGAATCAAATACTGTATTTATGCTCCTTAAAATGTATTTTGATCATGATTAATTTAGAGTTAAGTATTTTACCCTCCTTATGCTAGATTTTGAATAAATATTCATTGTATTAATACTGTAAATTTAGAGTTACATACCTTTTTCATATGCTGAATTGATAGTAAAATACTGTATTTATGCTATGAATTTAGAGTAAAATACTGTACTTATATTTTGAATTTAGAGTAAAATACTGTACTTATACTGTGAATTTAGAGTAAAATACTTTACTTATACTGTGAATTTAGAGAAAAATATTGTATTTATACTATAAATTTAGAGTAAAATATTGTATTTTAAGTCTGAATTTGAATTAAGAGCAAATTTCTGTGTTTATACTGTAAATTTAGAATAAACTCTAAGCAGTGAATTTAGACTAAAAAATTATTTATATGATAATTCCAAGAAGTATACTGTTCATTATACACTAATTTCACTAAAAGTTGCAAACGTTTGCATTCAAAGAGAATGAAATAAGTATAAATTTGTATAGTAAAAGATTTTGGTTTCTTTTTAATGATCTAATACATGTATAATACAATTGAAGTACTTCATTTCCTTTCTTTGGCTTTGTCCAGTTTCACTTCAGAGGGTAGATGTATTGCTATATCTCAATTTTTTCAAATTATTTTGCTCTCTTTGTTTGAAAAACCAGCCTTCAAAACCAAAATCAAATAATTCCATTTTTGCTAAAAGTTGGCAAGAAAATTAATTTTTTATATACTAAGTAATGTAAAACAAAAATTGAAGCTATTATTTGAAAATATTTGACAAATAAGAATAAAAAAGATGCATTCATATTTTGTAGGAATTCTTCTTGGAAGTTTAGTTTAATAGTTTTTTGTTTAGAATAGATACAGTATTTGATTTGGTCAAATCAAGTTCTTATAAAATTTCAAGAGTGTTTTTATTATTTTACCAAATTTTGTGAAAGGAAAATATAGCAGGACTTCCATTAACTAAGTTAATGTGTCTCATTATGAATAGTTATTAGTGGAGTATGAACTTGTATACATTGCAATGTTTACAAACAGGAGTAACACATTTTTTTAAAGACCCACCATGTTCTATTTATGAAACTGTTTCAAATATAAACCAATCTTTGATAAACTTTCCCTGTCGTAAGAAAATAAAATTAAACTTTACAAAATTATAAATCATTCATTATCCATCAGAATCATTCAATTAAGTAGCTTCTTTAATATGGATTTCGTGAGATTCCTGCCAGTTTTGAACATTTGATATAAAAGTGTTTTTTTTTCATTAACAAGTTTTGTAAGGTGTACAGTCATGTTAATCTATACATTTAGTTAGTCGTTCAGTAATGTACGAGATTCAACAATAGATAGTTGTGGGTCTTTAATGAAATTGAGTTCTGTGAAATTGCATTATTTGAGTTGTTGATCATGAAAATGTTGCACAGTTTTTACATGTACCATTACAGAAACAAAACACATCTTAAAATTTTTCACTTGTTTGGCTGTCCAAAATTTGTGTGAGTTGATAATTGGAAATTATAGATTATTTAAATATAACATAACAGTTGACAAACCTGAAAATCTTGTTGTTATTTTTCCTAATTGGTGTTTTTCCTAAAGTTCAGATCTTCTTAACCAAAGCCTGACCATAAGGGTAAAAAACTTAAAATACCCGGATTAAGTTATAACTGAGTATAAGTAACTAGTTGAATGACATTGATTTGATCCTTCGCACATGACGACGGACAGAAGTAAAAATGGAAATCAGTTTCAGACTTAAGAAGGCATCAACATGACAGTTTTGCCTTTTCTAAGGTGAAAAGTTGAATAACGAAACCACAATGTTGACAAAAATCTGGAAACAAAGTGATTAATCACAACAAAATAACGTGAAAATTGCAGACTCGGTATTAATCACTCTGCATTAATCTGAAAATTGTAGACTTTGTTTGATTGAATCTGTGCATGAGGGATAATGAATAAGTGCAACACTAATTTTCAACACTAAATAGTGCTGGCATCGATATATTTCGACTTTTCAACATGGTATCATCGACCTTTCACAATCATTATTTCGACTTTTAACCATCGCACCTTCGCCTTTCTGTCAAGAATGCGCATTGCATGACATTCTATAATTATAAAGATGCCACATGTAGTCCGAAACAGTTAACGTTTTAAATGAAAGCAAAACGTACAATGTTATGCCTAAGCCATAGACAATATTATTTGTTGTAAATGATCCTTGGTAAAAATATTTTCTACATTCGTCATCCATTGTAATGATCTCTGTGCGCTTGCCAGACAAAAAGGCGATACTACGTACGATAACCACAATGATAAAAAGTCGAAAGTACGATGGTGAAAAGTCGAAATAACGAAACTACGATTGTAAAAAGTTGAAGTAGGGATGATGAAAAGTCAAAACCACGATGGTAAAATCACGAAATCATACCGATCGTAAAAACCTCCTGATATCTTGATAATCATACCTCTCTTCAGAGAAAATACACATTTTTTTAAAAAACTTAATGATATGATATCTTGTATGCATTCTGTTTATAAAATGTCAAGCACTGGTCAGAGCATATGCACGACTTTTTTATATCCAAAGTTTGTCCCCTCTGAGAACAAAGTACACAGTGGTGAGCATTTGTGATGGCAGTGTGTCCATCATCCATATTGTCGTTAGTCGTTATCCAAAAACCGTAGTACAGATATGATCCTTAGGTGACCAATGCCGGTAAATGTTTCAAGACTGATGGAAAATGTAGGTCACATGAGCTAAATTGAGAGTTAAAAAAGAGATATTTATATATCTATCCTCCTTAACAACTCGATTTTGGTCAAACTCCGCAGGAATGATCCTAATGTGACCAATATCATAATTTAGATAAATGACCGAAACCTGGTGCGTAAGTAGACCAAAGGAGCTAAAATAGACTAAAATGTTTGAAATTTTTTATCCTCATACACTAAAATGATCAGAGCCGTAAATTACGGTGTCCTTATCGTGCCATTTAGAATGTCGTCCGTCGCGTCTAAGGGTAGACACACGACAATGCGAAGTGACATCGCGACAATGCGAAGCGACGCTCGACAACGCGAAGCGATATGCGACAATGCGAAGCGACGCTCGACAGTGTCAAACGATATGTCGCACTGTCGCCTAGAAATGTCGCGGTAAAAAAGGGCGACATTTAAGAAATGTCGCTTCGCGTTGTCGAGTGTCGCTTCGCATTGTCGAGCGTCGCTTCGCGTTGTCGCGATGTCACTTCGCGTTGTCGCGATGTCACTTCGCGTTGTCGCATTGTCACTTCGCATTGTCGAGTGTCGAGGGTGGTAGAAGTGCATACCACGACACTCGACAATGCGAAACGACAACGCGACAAGTGCGATACGACGCTCGACAATGCGAAGTGACACTCGACATCGCGAAGCGACATTTTTAAAATGTCGAGTAAATGTCGCGTTATTTTTATGATTTTTACACCGCGACGCTCAACATTGCGAAGCGACACTCGACAATGCGAAGCGACACTCGACAACGCGAAGCGATACTCGACAACGCGAAGCGACACTCGACAATGCGAAGCGACATTTGGAATAATATCGTATCGCATTGTCGTGCGTCTACCGGTGCTTGGTCAGAATTTACTAACTCACCGACAAACGGTGCGATCATGGAAGGGAATTTACTAA